ATTATGAGTTTTGTAGCCATCAATCGGTCATTGTTTGCTTAATATGACTGTGTAATTATGACTGTGTAATTAATATAAGTATTTTTGTGGATGAGAATAATGTCCCGTGTGAAGGATACGCCTTTGAGCAAATTGAAAATTGAACCGCACGTCTGGCATAATAAAACTTTTTCTGATGAGTCCTTATTAAAATCTCTGTGTTGGAGCCAAGAGGAATTCCCTAATTCAATATCGGTGGCTCGGGATGGGGACGAATGAAGAAATTTTCGTGTTCTGCGGCCGCCCTACGCATATAAAAAAGAATTCGAAACATTGCATATTCATGGAATTTGCGCGACCTGTTGAAGATAATTGGATTATTTTCTTGCTCGAATTGATGTTTGGGGAATTATTGTTATGTTCACATTGCACTGTAAATATTCCCAATTAGTAAAGTTATCGAAATCGTGATGGTGTAATATTTTTTTTTAAATTCAAATTGGCGCATAAATCTGCGAAAAAACGACAACGAATTTAATTTATTTCGCCCAATTACAAACTAAACCGATTGACGTAAATCATTTTTGTGAAAAATAATAGATTAAACATTTAAACGACATTTACGTAACGCCGTCATCAATTACTGATGAATTTTTGATATATCCACATAGAAGTCATTAATTTTTCGTTTATTTATTACAGCAGATCGGAATATGAATTACCGAAATTAATTTTCCCCGAATAATTTTGTCTATCGACATGATTTTCATCGATGATTATTCGTATATCTAAATTGAATTCTCGATGTAAAGAAAATGTATGTGTGTAAAATACCTATATCGAAACATCCCATTTGAATTGAAAAAAAAAAACCGCATAATACCAAGTCCCGTTTACATTCGGATCAACGAAAATTGTATATTACACGTAAAAGCATATCCACCGTACACACACACACATTCCGCGTCGGCGGCTTCGTTGTCCCCGATTCTCTCACTTTGCTCGATCGCAAATGCATTGAAATTGAAAACCGCAATGTAAACAATATCGGTAAGCATCGTTGTTTGTATACCGGCGTGTAGGTCTTTGTTCCAAGGCGTATTGAGCAAAAAGGCGCACCACTACCTTTTGTTGTGGCGTTTTTTTTTTGGGGAGGAATTGGGAATTTTCGCGGACCTGGGAACACGCCTGCCAAATTATTTCAAAACAATGGATTTTTGCTGGAACTGGGCACCAACTTTTTGAACGGTTTCTGGCATGTGTGTGTGTGTGTACGAAAAATATATCAGTTAGATATCTCGACGGAAAGTTCCCATCGAACTGTCACCAATCGAATTCACTTGACAGCTCAGTCCACTTTGCGGTTATATCGGCCGACCGCTGACATCTAATAGACTTCCGCGTCACCGACCGCCCGAGTGACGTTCCGTGTCTTTCGGTTTGCGGAATTGTTTTTATTCGATCAAATTCGAAACGTTTCGCCCGACGACGAAGACGTCACTGTGGGCGACCCATCACTTCGACCGCGGTGATGATTCTCGACGAATTTTGCTGTTTTCCAGCCCTTATCGCTGGTCAAAACCGCCCGTCAAAAACTCGATGTCGATGTAATTTAGTTTGCATGGCATTACAATTTTTTTTTGTTAATAGAATAATCGTTTATTATATAACAATATTGCGAATTTTACCATCTCTTTGTTCATATTATCCGATCTATTCCCATTGTTAGAGCATAGTCAATATCTAATTATTCCCAAATAAATCATAATTTACTAAATGGAGCCCGTCAATTTTACCTTTCTTTATTCAACTCCACTTGCCGTATAATTATTTCGTGATGAAAACGCGAACTGAAAAAAAAAATAATGTACCTACCTATACGTTTATTCCGCTTTGATAGATAAAAAAAATCGTTTCTAAATTCACGTAACTGAAATTCTTTTTTCGACTGGTGTCCGCTTTAATGGCGATAACAACAATTTTATTTTGCCATTGACACGCGAGCCGGTCATTTGTTTATTTGCGCTGTAATTGGCTCTTGTAAAATTGTTAAAATATTCAGTTTGATTCCGGGTTGTATACGAAACGCGCGCTTTTGATGTCGGAATTCGTGCGTTTGATGTTTCGAAATGAAAACGGAAAATTCACCGTAACTATTAATCACCGGCACGCGCGTTTTTCCGATTGTTATACCGCAGAAATTGTTTAAACATCGTCGGGTAGGTAACGCGATTCCTTCGGTTATTAATCCGTCACGTCCGGATAAATTTTCTTATCCCGCTTCGCATTCCGGTTGGGCTCCGGTATAAATTATTTATGACCGCGCAATGGCGGGACATATCCCGGCGAAAACTTCTAGTTGAATAACTGTAATGGCGCTAACATACTTTTTCCCGAGATAATGTGGGGCTTAATGCGCGCTCGTGTCGGAAAATGTACGCAAGGCGACTGGAAAACTCCCGCGAAACTGGAAAACTGAAAATGAAAATCTCTTCTGCTCGACTATACGCCTCGGCTCTCCGTTAAAGGCTCATAAAAATATGCCAGGCGCAATTAGAAGTTTTACTTGGAAATTGGTTGATATATCATTTTATAAAATGATCAAAATTCGACCACTTTATAAACTTAATTAAAATAATCTTTTAACAAATTGTATTCACGATAATATCAATGAACTTTTAATAGCTTACTGTGCTACAAGCGGAATTGAGATTTTAAAAACTTGCATGAGTATTTTTCTTTCCGGGTAGATGAACATTTTAAGCTATAATTTACAGGTTTGCTGGAAGTGCGGCGCGGATCGTAAAAAAGCAATTAATGAAAAATGTTGCAGTGCAGTCATTACGCCGTGTAATTGATTCGTTTTTAACTACCGCGTCTTCGGAGAGTCGATTTCGTTTCGGGAAAAGCGCCGTCATTTGAAAAATACAAATTAAAAAAAATAACTTAAGGTTTCCCGAGCGCAACGTCTCGATCTAATGATTTTTCCGATTCGTTTACCCCACAATAGAACGCTCTCTAAAGAAGAATAACAATTTTTAATAAATTCATCGGTTTTTTTCTATTAATCTGGCGAGCGGTGCTTGAAAATTTTCTACGCGTACTCGGTGATATAATACGCCTTGTACTCAATTATGTGGGTCCGTGTTCGCGTTCAACCATCGCGGTATTTATGGCACCTTCAGCGCGGAAAACAAAGTATTTATTTTCCCCCCCGGTTTTTCTTTCGCTTTCCTTTCTATCCGGAACCAATAAAGCGCTTTCCGTGTTTCGCGCGGCGCTCGTTTTTTAAATTCACCGAAGGACGGGCGCTATAAACTCGCCTCGGAATATGAGAAACGGTTCTTTTCCCTGATTGTGGAAAGTGTTTTCCTTGCGCCGTATGAAATTTCGCAAATGCTCGATATAAAGGTAGCGGATTTTCCTCGCGAACTCTGCTGAATAGCAATAACATCGGAATGTACCATTTGATTGGTTTTTTTTGACATACAAACTGATTTGTTTGCCAAAATGTAAGGGGCCAAAAGTGATTAGTTTCGACAAAAATCTCTTCCTTTTAGTGCACTAATAATGGCGAAGCGACGTTGCCAGTGGTAGCTAATAATGGGATTTTGCGGGAAATTACCGTTGTTGTTAACAACATATTATGTAGAATGCGATGTCAATTTAGATGCGAGTAAGACGCTTCTAATTGGGTACTTGTGTACAACCGCCTGCTCGATTATCGCCGACGGTAATTGTCATAGAATCCGGCAAACTTTAGCTCGCTGTAGCGTTATTATAAACGGAGTTTCTGCGCTTCGACTCGATGCAACGATGCAATTTGTCAAGGATTTCGGTAAATCCTAATAAGACGGATTACGCGACTCGGCTTGCTGTTTCAGTTTCGAAGGTGGGTCGGGATTTAAAATTCAGTAGGTGGATGTATTAACTGTATTTATGACACTTTCACTTCGAGTTCGTCCTCGGAAAGCTGCAAGGAGAAGAAAAAAAACGTGAGAAAAATGAAAAATGCGAATAATACTTGCGAAAGCTCGGAGAGTTCGTTTCTATTCAAAACGCTTATCTCGCGAGTGGAAAAATATTCATATTTAAAGGCAAATTTAAGAGATCGTGAATTTTTTAGAACGGCTCCCAGTAGAATACTTTTTCGGAAAAAAAGATTGATGCCTCCCGAACGGAGACAGATGGATTCATTTTCGCGGAGGAGTCGGTCCGCGTGATTGATCTCCTTAATTTGCTAGGCGACGTTTCTCGGGGTACATTACCGGCGGTTTCATCCACAGCCTCCCGGCCCCGCTGTATTTTTCATACCCATTCGTCCCGTTTATTATTTCGCTTTTCTCCGGCGGATTTGATAAATTGATTGGCAGCTTCGCATCGAAATTTACCGACCCGAATCCGACGATTTGCATTTCAAACAACAAGGCTATGTAACTAATATTAATCGAATTTAAAACGTTCGGTTTATTTTTTTTTTATTATAAAGCGACGAGACGTTAATCAAAAGTGATTATTAATTTGGAGTTTACATTTTAATGTGGAAATTTTTAGAATACATTATAAATAATGTATATCGAATAAAAACGGCGCATTTAATTTACGTCCTTGTAATGTTTGCAATTCATCGGGTATTATTCCGAAAAAGAAATTGATTTATCGCGTCGGCTTTTTTTTAATTCCGTAAAACGGCAGTGAATCAGGATGAAGCTGCGATTATGTATCATGCACGCTTTTAGCTTAACTGGAATCCAGTCGCAAAAGGGATTATTTAATAGGTTCCCATGGCGGAGCCGGTGTAAGCCGGGGGGAAAAGAGAACAGCAAGGGGGCGCGCTTATTCCTCTAAAAGCCATTTGTTAAGTGCGCGACGACTTCGGGGGTGTATATGGTCGTTTAGTCTTCCTTACCTGTTGTCGTTCGCGTACATATCAAGGGTCAAGAGCCGGAATCGGAAGATTAATGGGTGAAAAGGGTGTGCTCATTTAACGATTAGATATTTAGTTGAATTTTTAATTGCAGGTCTTTCAACTCTGATGAGCCGGACTTCGATTGGCAACGACGCTCTACTCGAATAAACCCCTATAATATATCTACGATATATAACCAAACAAGTCTCCAAACACCTTCGAATAACTCTCTACGTTTGTTTAAAAAAAAATTATTCATACGATGGTTCGGACGTATCGTTGTGCGTTTTGGTTGGCGGTGGTCGCTTCGGTGGCGATCGGAATCGAATCCAAGAGGACCGCCAGAGAGGCGAAAATCTATCACAATCAATTCGCCGTGCACGTACCGCTCGGCAGGGAAGCCGCCGATGCCGTCGCCGCGAAACACGGCTTCGTTAACAGAGGACAGGTGAGTTCCGATTAGTTTTATATCGTCCCCAAATTATATCTATATACGAGAAGGTTTAAAAATATGTAAGAAGTTTACATGGTGGTAAGAGTGCCGATACTTTAGGATGTGAATATTTGGATGATTTTAAGAAGAAAAGTTTATATCAATATATCTCGTAAACCTCTTAGATGTCGGGCTACAGGGTGTTGCAATTTTAGAAAAAAAAACTTTTCTGTTGTAATTTTTTTATTACCCCGTATAATATAATTTTATGAAATTTTGTACGCACTTTTTAATTATTAAAGAGCATTTTTTGAGGCAAAAGATAAAAAAAAATTGCCAGTGACGTGCGTACGGGGTTTGAACTGAATATGTTTGAAGAAAAAATGGTACGCCACTGATTTTTCTAAAAACCAAAATTATTTTTAAAATCTTCGTTTATTTTGGAGCAAATTCGGTTCGATGACATACTTTCGTACGACGCACCGTTTTCGCGTAAAAAATACAAACCAAAAACAATTTTTCTCAAGTTCATTGAGACTGCTTTTGATATTTTGTTGAAATTTACTAAACTAAGTATAGGACATATTTTTATATACACTTTTCTTCTTAAAATCATCCAAATATTCACATCCTGAAATATCGGCACTCAATTAATTACAACCCTGTAACACTTTTTAATTGAGGGTCACTTCTCTAAGTATTTCTCCACAAGAAATTTGTATTTTTATTATTTACCTACATTAATTTGAAAAAAAAAATATGGACAACCTATCTAATTACTCTGTAAGTGTATATTATTAACTCCAGAAGATAGCTTGCGTAGATATTAATTTCTTGTATATGCACGGTATAAAGGATATTAATTTCGCAATGAATTCGAATAAAAAAGAATCTTAATTCTTGAGAGGTTTCGCGTTTAACTTTGAGGGCTCATCGAAATTCGAAGCCTATTAAAATCGAATTCGGTTCGCATCTGGCGCCTGACGGGAAACTCGGCGAATCCGCTTTTCCTCCGGACTTGGAAAACAAATTCAAAGGCCCATTTATAATCATATTTTACAGTTTTTCCATGCCTCGGCTTTCCAGATCTAATAATATGATGTATTATTCCCTCGGTCCGTTAACTTTGGCCGCGCTACACGCCCGTGTACCTGCGCCGTGTACATTTATACGCTTCTCCCCGTCGTCGGCCATTTTTAATAAATGCATATTTTTGAGTTTCTCGATGACAGTACCGCGTCCCCGGTGTGTGTGGGGCCTCTGAGCGTAAATCTGGAATTTGGTTTATGACGCGATTTGGGAATACAATTTTTTTCTCCTTTTCAAATACGAATAGATGTTGGTTATAATTCAAATCCTCTAAATCAAACCGCTCCATTTGTATCTGTTAACAGCTAATGGAAATGTATATCGCATTTTTACGAACTTCCTCATCCATTCGTTAAATATTGATAATTAACTTGGTAATTACTGAATAACTCGTTTATTAAATAGGTACATTTGATCTATTCTTGCTCGTTAAACATTAAATATTATTCGAGCATAATCGTATTTGCCGGTAAATATTTGGCCGGATTAATCTCGAAGACTTGAAATAGTAATGTTTTAATTAAGCTCAGGTTATTTACGAATCGATACAATCGAATGTCCATGGTCTGTTATATACTCGTCGGTTCGAATTGAGTTACGATCAAACGGACATAAGCCAATTTAAATTCGTTAAATCGCATTTGTCGTTTCACTTTGAAATCGACAATTACCTATCCTTATATGACTTTATTGTGTACTGTACGTTTCGTTGAACAATAGTAATAACGGTCGATGTGGAAAGTATTAATGGAATTTCAAAACATTTAATGATAATATTGTTAGTGATCATTGAAGAGCTCTCGAAATTAATAGGTATAGGTTTTTACAAATGATTTTGCGTTTAATTGTAGTGGTTTATTTCATTTATAGGGCATTTGTGAAAGGATAAAACATCCATTTGATTGTTTAAAAAAAATCCCGTGGTTTATTGCTCTATTTTCCCGTTATTAGCACTTCGAATCGCACAAAAGGAAAAACCTCCCCCGACGATTTATCACGCTCTTTGTCTACCATTAATTGATTTCGATGGCTCCGTATTATTAGAGTTTTGTTGTTGTTTGATAAATATATCAACTAAACGCAAAAAATCCTCTCTGCCTTTTCTACTCCACTTTTACCAGCGGCATTCTGTCTTTCTTTTCGGCCCTTTTTCGCATCACAACAGCCGCGCTCCGTCGTTTGATGACTTATTCAACGTTATTATTAAAGGTTTCCTTAGAACAGGGAAAAAAATCGCATCGGATGTTCGACGGGAATTTATTAGAGGTATTTTCATTTCGTGCAATTTTTATTCCTGCCGTAATAATGGTGTATTGTAAGGATATTAGGCAACACTATACGTACAGAACAAAAGCTTTGTTTTTTTGCTAAATATAGATTTTTCTATACTCGAATATGTATTCAGCGTTCGTGCGTTTTTGGTGTGGGAAGGTTAAGGACCTGTAATCGAATTGGGGACGCGTCTCTGGAGGAGCCGGTGCACGACGTCGCCGTCTTTCGCTCTATATATATGCACGAATTGGCCCTGTTAAGCCGCCGCCCCCGCGTTGACATTTTCTTATTACCATCCGGTCATAGGGCTCGCTGCAATTTCGGAACGGGGCCGCTGCGTGGGCTGGAATAGCGGAGGGTATGTTTTCAGCAACAGCTGACAAACGTTATTGCTCTGTTAGATACAATTTTCTCGCTCTATATACTTTGTAAAGTCGGCTCTGGTGTGTGTGTATATCTCTATCTCTGTGTGTGTGTGTGTGTGTGTTGGTCCGTTTCTTGGAGAGACGTGATTTCGAGTTTTATTAAAATCGTATATCGCCAGGCTTTTTCTGTTTCCGGCAGTTTTTAATAACTCGCGTTATACGACAGATGGTGGATACAATAAATGAAATCGAAGGACCCCATTCCACTAGATGTTCGAACTAAATTGCTAGTCTCTCTCTTTCTTAAAGCGTTTACCGGGTAGACGCGACATGTAAAAATGATATATAGCGGCGCAAATGCATCTTTAAAATCCTCTCGGAATGATGGAGCCTCGAAATATTAGACACGCGAAGAGTAGCATGAAAGGGAAAGAGAGTGAAAATCCCCTTATATTGCTGACAAGTAGCCGACCTGCATGCCAAAGAGAAGAAGAAGAAAAAAACAACGAAGAAGCAGTAGATGGGAATTGTGATCGTTTTTTTAAACGCGGAAAATCGCATACACGTTTGCCACTCGAAAGATTTTTTTCGTCGTTCGGGTTAATTAAGTTTTTGAGCCGGTACTTTTATGCGAGCGCATTGATTGCAAACAAAAGGCTTCGCCAAAAAAAAAGGAATAGATATTATCGACGACAAATCGAGAGGGAAACGCAACCGTGGAACATGATAAATGCGATTCGTGTTAATCGACGCACGTCAAACGATCGGAATTAATCTACGTTGAAGACAGAGAGGATGCGAGAATGGCACGAGAACTAATTTTCAATTATCGATTTTCTTTCTATCGCAAATCGCTTCGATTTGTAATCAGTATTAGATTCGATAGATAGCGGCTTGATGGCACAAGTAAAATGCAACCTCGTTTTTTATCTTGGATTAAATTTAATTTGTATAGATGTTATTATTTTTCAGATTGAATAATTTTGTAATAAAATTCACATTTGATTGGTACATACGCTAATCTCTAATCGAATTGTTTTTGAAATTGACCGATAAAAATGCAAAACAAAATCGTTTAAAATGCCTAGATAAAAATTGGTGGCGTTTAGGCACAAATTCGAGCTGTCCTTTTTTTGTTTTTTTTTAAGAATTATTTAACAAACAATTCCAGCGAATTGGAATTGAAAACGAAACGCGGCATTTACATGAAAGATTCATTAGGATGCAACGCAAAACAGAGCGAATTATATTTTGCATAACAATCGGCCCCATTTAATTTTCTGGAATAATATTATCCGGGTGAGGTATATAAATTTGTCGCGTACATTATTGCCCCCCGAAGTTTTTTTTTGTACAATTCGAATAAATAATATTTATTAGGTTGTTGCGGATTAAATTAATTCAGTTATAAATGATTAAAATAATTATGCGGAAACCGATACGGCGGAAACGTTACACTATGGTTTGCGGGAGAGTTTTGATTAAAATTAAAAAAAAATAAAGCGAATATATATTTTTACAATTATTGCTTTATCGAGTTACTCGAGTGTTTTGTTGAATAAATTTTGCAATAAATGTACGGTATCCATCAGTGTTGTATTAAATTAGGATTATTATACGGGACGGGTTGTTTTTATTTACGTCGAGTAAAAACAAGTTTATACATGTTAGTTTCTTTCGGGCGGATAATAAGTTGGGTTCGCTCGGGAAACAACGGGAATGCGTCATTAATCTTCATCAAAAGGAATCGTTTTTTATTGCCATTCCCTCGACATAACTACCGTTCATGAAACACTCTAATAGCCACTAAAGGGGTATAATTACCCTTAAATGACCCCATTAAACCGCTCTTTTATACACTGTATCCAATTCGAGCTATAATTTTACTAATGAGTAAATACGGTGTATCAAAAACACCGTACATGTATTTCCTATTAATCAAGTTTCTTAATCCCTCCCATGTAATATTTTCTTGGAACAATATAGTGTAGCATAAATCTCCGATGAATTATTAAAGGTAGGGCAAAAAAAAACTATTTGCCGTGCAATAGGACCCTTGTCACCTTATCTAAGGCCGATGCTTTAAATCGCCGTGTAGCCGAAAATTCGAGCGCACGGAAAATTCCTTTTTGTAATTTCACTCCGGAGGACGCTTCAGACCGGAATATAATATATGTGGGCAGTAATTTCACTCGGAAAAGGATCGCCGGTTATTAAATTTACCGCTTTGCCAGATAATAAATACGATCTGCTATGTAGCGCCCGATTCGGTCAATCATCGAGCAAATT